ACTACTTTCCTGGGTTGAAATGTCTCTTGAACATCAGTATGACATGAGACTTTCCTGTTTAATCATGACATACCCTTCCTGAATTTATCTGCAGAAATGAAAATTGATCAGAAGGAAGGAAAACAAGAGCCAGTGGTTCTCAAGTAAGTATGATAATCATAGATGTGAATTCGATGGTGACATCTAGACATCTCAGGACCTGAACTAAGAAGAAAGTACTGAACATCTCTATTCCATCCACTCTGCCAACCAAGAATGTAGTCTGTTTTCCTGGCAATTCTTACATTGGTTTCCACCTTTTGTTAATTTCCTAAATTTAGTAACAAAAAGCCAATCTCAGGGATTTCCTGCATTCAGGGAGAACATCTGCTCCATCCAGTGTGGACTGGCCTGGATGAGATGCATTCATTTCTGCAAGGTTGTCCTTGGTTTGTTGGCAGGTATTTATAACAAAAAAAAATGTAAGTACCCCATCAAATAATTATCCTATGTGCAATATTGGCAGAATAAACCTTAGAAGGCACAGGAGGTCTGTGAGACAGCTCAGCCTCAGGAGCCTTGATTCAATGGACCTCTGCAAGTCAAGTGGTACAAAACTGTACTGGAATTACAGTGACTGCTGGGGTTTTCCATATGTGCTGTGTGCCATTGCTGTACCATACAGGGAGAGGTGAGTCTCCATCCTTATACCATGTCCTGACCAGTGTACTGGGCACGTGCTGTGTTCACTTCCACCCCATGGAAGCCTCTCTCAGCCCCAGAGATAAGAGGTTTGATCACTTCTTGCTCCATAAAGGGGTGGCCTTCTGTAACCTCTCCCTTATCTTACCTCAAGCCCATTTGTGGAGGCTGTGGTGTTCACTTCTTCATGGTTTAATATTCTGCCTTTTCTACTTTGCCAGGCTCAGCAGGGAGCTTCAGGAGGAGGGACAGAATCAAGTCCAAAGTCATACACTGGACAGTCATAACTGGATTCTTTCTAGTCCCCATGGCTTGGCTGATTCCAGTCACCCTTCTAGACACCTTGCCTTCTGGTCTGATGAATGTGAAGTTGGTTTCACTCGGGATGGCACCAGTGAGTCCTCCCGTTATGAAGTAGAATAATCCACATGATTTCCCCTGTAGCCTCCAACTACATTATGTTCAGTTCCTCAGTCAGAGGTGAAAGATGTCTCTGCCATCTTGGTGAAAATGAGTCCCTTGCACTGAATATTAAGTACATCTGTTGATATGAGTAGTTTGTCACTCTTAATTTTCCTAGACAACACCTCTGTCACCCTGAGCCCGAAGAGAAATGTTAACAAGATGGAGAGCTCAATTAGGTCATCCTAAACTTGCAGCCATCACCAATGCAGGTGAACAGCAGGGAGCAGCATGAGGTCATTCCTTTAAGATGGATCTTGTCAGGGCCAGCCAGCAGGTGGTGAGGTGGTTAAGGCACTGGATTCCTCAAGGCCATCTACAGCTCAAGTCCCAGATCTGGTGCCTTGAAAATCATGCCAGGTGCATATGCATGCATACCAAAATCCCAAGAGAATGGAGAGGACGGTATTGTGGTGTGACCACCACCTTGGGGGGTGATTTCTGTCTTTTCTGCTCTCTGTGTCTCTCTGGCATAAGTACATTCCCATGGGGGAGGGCAGAGAGAGAGAGAGAGAGAGAGAGAGAGAGAGAGAGAGAGAAAACAGAAGAAGAAGAAAAAAGATTGAACTTGTGATCTTTCCTGAAATGTTCCTGGTAACTATTGTTCTGAATAGTGTCCCTTCAGCATCAGTGACTGAGTAGGTAGGTAGTCTTGACTACATCTCTGGACATGCTGTTATCTCAGTTAGTCAACATCATGCCACCTTCTCTGTTCTAAATTAACATCTGCTCACTATGCAGTCCTGTGAGTGCTACAAGAAAACACTCTATCAAGGCCAGGTCTAGAGTTTTCCTTAAGACCAAGACATGGCCTTCACACCCTTCAGTGGTATCGGTAGCCCAGGATCTACATGACACCAAAAATTCTTCCCAATACTGTATAGATTTCACCCATCAGTCTAGCATCAGAATATAACCTCATCCACACCAAAACAAACAAGATAGCTAGAAAAATGGTGAATCACATAACAACAACAATTTGAAGGCAGCTAATCATGTTCTCTACAAACTCTGGTGAAAACATATGATCAACTATCAACACGTGGCACAGGGCATTGTGATGACAATCTGGCAGGTGTGGATCCATGTTCTTAATGGCTCACTTTTTGTAAGAGGGAAAGTGAGGCACTATGTTGTGTACTTCTCACAACATCTGGAAATTTTTATTTCGAAGAGATATTTTTGAATCCCTGTGCCTATATATACCTGTGTATGTATGTGTGTGTGTGTATATATATATACATATATATGCCTATATATACATATATATATATGTGTGTGTGTGTATGTATGTATGTGTGTATATATATATATATATATATATGCATATATTACATGGAGGAACCATGTAATATAACTACCATTATCGAAATTTATTTGCAGAAAATCTACATGAACCTAAGAAGGATAAAAAGGAGCCAATGACCTCCAGGTAAAACATAAACACAGGCTGTCACAGTTGTGATGATATTGCTCAGACTCAAGTGAAATTGCTGATTATGCTATTTAATTTATTCTCCAGCAAATAACATTCCTTGTTAGGAGTTTTATGTTTAAGGTAGTTTATATTAGTTTCCACCCTTCATAACTTTCTCAAGTTAAGTAATTCAGAATCTATGTATCAGATGGCCTCCATTCAGGGAGACCATCTGTTCTCCCCAGACTGGGATGATGTAACATAGATGCATTTCTTACTGTAACAAAGTCCTTCATTAGTTAGCAAAGTTTTCAAAGAAAAAATGAAACTAAAAATGGTATTATATCATAATATTGAGAAAAATAAGGTCTTAAGGCTCATAATCGGTGTGAGACAACAGTGGATAAGAGCCTTTTACTTATTGGGTCCCTGGATGTAAAGTGCTGAAAGAAAGAAAGAAAGAAAGAAAGAAAGAAAGAAAGAAAGAAAGAAAGAAAGAAAGAAAGAAAGAAAGAAAGAAGGAGGAAGGGAGGGAGGGGAAGGGAGGGAGGGAGGAAGGAAGAAAAATGCATTGGATTTGTCACAACAGTAACGGTTCCTGTGGGGGCTCCCGGTCCTGATTATATCACAGAGAGATTGGAGTCTCCTTCCTCGTGTGCATGTGATCTGGCCAGTACCCTGATGCTCCACATCCAGCAGCATCCCTTGTATCCATCCTCATGGCAGCCACACTCTTCTCCAAGGAGGATAGTTTTGTTCTGCTTCTTGAAAAGAGAGTCCCTCTGATTTCTATGACATCTCACTTAGACATCTCATCAGTATTCATGCAATATTATGCTTTGCAATTGCTTTATGCTCAGAATTCCTCTCTCTATATATACCTCTGTGTTTAGGACAGAAAAGTATAAAAAGAAGGAAATGAATCAACTCCAGAAGAACACACCGGCTAAAGAGAACTTAACTACTTCTAGTAAGTTCAAATGGTCAGAATCCAGGAAGCTTCCTGACAGTCCTATTTCCCTGTCTTATGTACCAGAAGTCTGTTCTACTCTGGATGTGGCCAGTGAGTATTCCTATGATTAAAAGAATAAGGCTCCAGTTGGACTTCCAAGTAGCCTCCCTATCATTTATGCTGTTTTCTGTCCAGGAAGAGAGCAGTCTTAATCCAGGTAGGCCCAGTGAGCCCTCTTTGTATGAGTCAAATTTTAGGACATAAGTTTAAGCACGGAAATTAAGTAAGTAAAGCAATTTCGCTGTCTTCCATGTCACTGGCCACACCTCTGTTCCCCTGGAAATCTCTAGCAAATGCATTGTGTTGTAATCAACATACAGTGAGAAGTATATATTGAGAAGTGAGAAGATGATGAGGGTATTCTGGTGACCTCTACTACTCCTTAGCACATTGTCACAACCTGGCAGACCATCTTCACTGAGAAATATCTCTACATCGATGATCTTGCTTATTTGCATATCCAGGCAATGTCGTGAAAGCATGTGTGGCTGTTGTGGGGGAATGCCTTGCCTACACTTGGGGGATGTCGTTACCATGTTCCATAAGTGTTGAACTCCAGTCTCTCTCCCCTTAGTTAGCCGGCCCCTGTAAGCACTTATCTCAGTATGAGAGCATACACACCAATACATTGTCTGTACCAGGGCTTCCCCTGAAAACAGGCTTGACATTAGTAATCCCAGTCTCCATAAGCAATTAAGGATCTTGTGTTCTATGAACCATGAAGAATATCTTGGATTTAACTTTGGCAAAATTCAACAATTGATTATTAAACAAATAGTGTGTGACCACTTAGAATTTGGTGACCATGAGAACCCAGAATATGCTAAAAGCATAGCTGACCACCTTAAATCAGTGGAATGAAGGGAATTGCAAAGACAGAGATGCAGCATTCCCCAGGTGTGGAGAGAGGGAGCCAGCACATTCTTCTTTCCTCTGCCTCAGTTCAGTTCATCACTGAAAACATGCTTCAGCTCATCTTCTGGAAAGGTTTTGACCCCATGATAGAAATGCTCCTGCATTTTTCTCAACAGAGCACACCCAGGAAACGGAGTGCCTGAGGAAGATGCTGAAAAATTCTCAAACTCTGCTTGAGAAGGTGAGGAAACAGGTGGATCAGGAGAGGATGGAATGGAAACAGATTACAGAGCGGTTTCAAGGAATTCAGCAGAAGATCTTGAATATCAATGATACATGGACACTACACAAGGAAGAGTTTGACAGGTAAGAGAAGACATATAGCCAATTAATATAGTAGGTGTCTTAGCCTCACATGAGAAGTAGGATATTGTGAAATGACCAACCTTCTTCCATTGCTACCTTATCACTCCTTCAATGACCTTGCAGATATTCAGTCAGAATCCTTGCCTAGATACCTGTATCCCCTCTGATGTGCCTGACTTGTGGATGACTTGGCACAGAAAGAAGTCTTCTGTGGAAATGCTATTCATTCAATCCAAAGCGACACAGTGACATCCTCCTATTATGTCCTCTAGTTTAGCAATCCAGAGCCCACCACACGTATTTCCCACACTCAGGAAGACCACCTGTTTTTCCCTGAGTGGAAAGATCTGAATGAGAAACATTTGTGTCTGCAAGATTGTTCTTGGTTTGTGGGCAAAAATTTCATAGAGAAAGATGTATATAGACCAAAAATGCTATTATGTCACAATATTGACAGTCTCGAAGGCACTTCATCTTTGTAAGACAACAATGACTCAGGAGTGTTTAGGCTCTAAGACTCTAGAAGGAAAGTGGGACAAAACTGAATTGGGCCTATGACAAATGTTATAATTCTCATGTGTTGCTTGTTATGTGTGGAGAGTGGAGTCTGTGTGTAACAATGTATGTTATCTGGCCAGTTCACAGAGCACCTGCAGCTCCCCATATCCAAATGAGTTTGTTCTGTTTCTTTGAAAAGATAGGCCTGCTGCCTTCTATGACTTTTCACTTAGACATTTCATCGAGACTTACCATAGGATTGTGGTGTGCAATTCTGTGTTTAATATTCTGCTCTCCAAATAATTCTTGGTTCAGGAGAGAGCTATTCCAAACAGTGGAAATCAGTCGAGTTC